GGAACTTGCCATACAGGGGCCCAGACAGACGATGACATGACCAAAGTACTACGTTACTGCGTATGTGCTGAGTTGTATCTCTGTATGCGTGGATTTCTTTAAGTCCTTGCATAATTATGCAGTAATTTGACTCACCGTGTTCCTTTTCCACAGATAGTTATTGTGCAGCAGCTGATGTACAGTAACCTATAATCCGATACCAGCTCTGGGCCATTACGTTTTGTTTTGAAATTTTGGAGTTGCTTGATAGTGTAGAAAGGGAAGAGACTTTTAAAACTGAAGCACACTAAAATACTACGACCTCTTCTCAACCTTTCCTAGCTTCAGCTGAACGATAAGAGCAGTAGTAGCAACACAGATGCAGACTTTTACAACTTGCTCATTGATAACCTTAAAGTTACTCTTCATCAGAAATGGTGTGAAAACAACTGCTGAATGAGAGGTTCCTTCACCAGCACCCGAACAATTAGCCCTATAGAAAAATCTTGGTCTAATTAGTCTCTCAATAAATCAGCAACAGCCTTGAACAATCTTACCCTTGCCAGCAGTCTGGAAGAGGACTACATTTCACATTCAAGTTTCTAGGAGGTTAACGTTTACCCACCACCAAGACCATCAATTCATAACTGATAAAAGGTACCCAGGGCCCTACATCGTTAATGTTTCCTACTAATGCCCAACACAGCCTATACTTTATTTTTCTCAATTTCACCCCTTGTAGGAGTATGATAATGGGATCAATTCCCTTTCTTACCATGCCTTGATTTAATCTTAGTTGAGATGGCCAAAATAAGAGCGTGCCTTGGGAGAGAGGCAACTGTCCTGCAGACTTTATGAGAGAAGTCAGAAGAGCAGAAACTGTCCAGGAGAAATCCAAGACATTTCAAGAAGCAATGGTGCTGTGCTCTGCCTCTGGAAACTATATGGAAGTCCAAATCGGAGCATGTTACGAGTCCTGACGCAACCATCACCACCCACTGTAGCCCTTGGCTACGGACGAGAAACGGGACACTCACCACACTCTTCTTTGGACGGACTTGTGTTGTGCTTGTGCAGGTCTACTGTGTTCAAGAGTGACTTTCACGCACATGTATAGACCAAACATTTCAAAATATTTCCTCTTCAAAAGCACTACTGTAATCTAGCAGCTCCAGCAGAATACACTGAAATGCATTTTACGAATTGCAGACTTGACTTCAGCAGGCTTGTGACAAACTAGCAATAGTAAAGAACCTGCTGAGAAACAAGCAAGAAACTTGAAATGCCAACCAACACAAGAGCTGACGGGACAGGATTTGTTTCTTACTGGACTCTGGTCCAATAGAGCCTATCTGCCAACTCCAGATGCAGTAAAACCCATGAAAGCATAAATATATGTCTCCAGAATGATGACACTTCCTATGGCATCAGCAAGGTTTTAAAGCTCTTACTGCTCTCTGTAGTACTAATTCTGGAATCAGTCGAACCTAAGTGTGTGCAAATTCGGCACAAAAGTCATTTCAGAAGAGACCACAGACAACCTAAGTTCATAATACTTACAATGTTTATCCACAGCCAAGGAAAAGCAATAAAATCATGACTCCCACAGGTGAACAGATAGAGGAAGAAAAGCTCAAGCCTGCCATCTTGCATCTTACAGAGCCAGTTCCCTGCAGCATGACCTGCTGGCGAATGCCATAACAAAACCTTAGAACTGACTGATGGTTCCTAGATTTTACTGAGGAATAAATTTATTGGGCTTTTGTGGGAAAAGTGAGATCATTTGCACTCAAATCAGAGGCTAATTCTCCATATAATGCATGTATTCTCCATATAATGTTATAAGGTATGTTTTTATATATATGTGTATATATATAAAATATGTATACATTATATATATATAATATGCGTATATTATGATGTATATAATTATATATGTAATTATACATAATATATAATATGCAGTATATACATCTATAATGTATACAGAATACATAACATATAATGTATACAGAAATAGTTAAAATTATTGATTTTCTGACTCCAGTAAGGAAATACACATGCAAAAATGGATACTCCTCGCTGTAAAAATAAGGGAATGGATACCTAATGATCGGAATATACATGCTGACTCCAAGATTAATAGAATAGTTATGCATGTCTTACGTATTCTTGTTATCACATAGTTTGAGACCAAGTGTTTCTTGGAAAAGACCTAAGAATAAAAAGCATTTAGGATGACTTCTTTGAATGAATCCATCTTTTACATTTCAATGGAAAACAAAAGAAAAAAGTTAACTTTCTGGAAATAAGTTTTAAAACTCAATCTCAGGTATTAC